GACTCTAAAGACATCTGTTTAAAAGAAAACAAAGTTAAGCTGTTAGGAAACTCTTGAAACTTCAACAATTTTTCCTTGTAATTTTACTTATTTTATGCACAGACATTAGTTGCAACAGGGCTTCGCTAAGCATGCCATTATGCTCAGGATAAGTTAGGCTTATATGCAATTCTATGATGTTATGTTTCAGTGGTATAATTCACATTCTGCTGTTTCTTTGAATCATTTGCTCCTCATCCCTTTGGACTGTTGAGGCAATGGTTTTGGCTCTGATATTGGCTTTGGCTTGAATTTCAGACCAATTTACAAGCAAGCTGATGACAACTAAATGTCAGTTTTAAGATGTGTAAAGCTTAACTAATGGAAAGGCAAAACAGTCCTTATAACCATATCAATCTGCAAATATGTGTCCAAATCAAATTGTGATTAATGAAACAATTTAATTAAATTACTTTAAAACAGGAGTTGAACTCAAACCAAATCTTGAGAACTCTTTCGTTAATACTCAAAACTCAAAGATATTGCGTCTCAGCAGTAACTTCACACTAAAATGCTACACCATGAAATCCAACAGAAAAGCCTTTATATAAGATGAAAGAGAGATTGAACATATCAAAGGCCTTGGAGAGGTCAACAAACAGAGTTGCACAAAGTTGATGGTTATTCTGCATAATTCATCGCGGAAGCAGTGAATGTGCAGTGACCTAGCTTTAAAGCTCAGTGCAATACATTACACTGCTCTGAAATTACTTGAGGGAGAGGCTTTGAATTAGGTCTATATGTTAACAAATGACTTGAAAATGTAAGACTGGGTATGAGTATAAAAAAAGAAGACAAAAATATCAACAGTAGATTCACTATTTGTTGCCAAAATAATACTTTCTTGTTTATATTTTATAAGACATTGGTATTTTTGTTTAACTCTAAATTGCTGCTAAATTCTCATTGTTTTGGCCATGCTGTTTAATTTCATTTCATTATTTTTCCAATACAATTATTTTTCTTTTAACTATATTTCACTGTAAGACTTACGTGTGCTTTGCAGCAACTTATAATGTTATGTATTTGTATTTGTTTGATATAAGGTTCTGCAAGTAAATGTTCTGCAATGGTGTTGGTGATTTTTGCTTATTTTTTCTCATCTCCGACTGCTTTTCTGCTCTGAACAGCTCAAGGAATAAAGAGGTTGTTGACTACGCAACCTATATTCCCCATGTAATCACTGAAGGAGGGGGGCGCCAGCTGCGATATGAATCAGATGCAGCCGTGATTGGAATACAATGACCTGGCAACACCCAGCGTCTCTCTCTTTCTGAACAAGGTTATCAGCAGAGATTATCAACAGGACAATAGACAGCTGATTCAAATAAGTATTGAATGGTTTTAGCACAAAACGTACGTCGGCTTGTGGTAACATTGGGCTGCAAATTAGTAGTAGTACGGAAATATGTTGGGCCATGGAAATGATTATGTAACATATGTAATATTATGAAATCTTATTTCATTTTTTCAAATGCCTTCGTGTTAACATAATCCTAATAATTAGCAGTACTGCTTATTACGATCACCATCATTAATTCCTCGGTTGATTACAGCCGCTTCTTACATCATTTTACATAGTCTACAGGGGGTATAGATAAATAAAAAAACACCCGTATACAAATACAATTTTGACTTTGAAGTATCTAAGGCATGCTAATGCTGCTACAAATGTGGGTCATAAGATGCCTCATACTAATTAAGTATTTGTCAACCCCCACTGTATACTTTATACAGTATCTGTAATGGCCTCAACTAGTGGAAGCTGTTTTTTTTTATCTTACTGCAGTTTGCTCTTGATTTTTTACAACAGTAATCCTTGAGGTAATTAATCATTTAGCAGTTTTTGGATTGATATGCCTGCATTTTATATCACAGATCATTTAACAGTTGCAGATATACTGTATATACTGTTAGTTGTGAGTGCTCCGATTGTAAAACTGCTCATTGCCACAACTTGTCATCAATAAAAAAAATTGGCCAACTGTCAGGGAACTAAGGGCAGCTTGGGTTTATTTTTCATGATTTTTGGCATTATTTGTATTGATAATAATAGCACTGTTCACACAAATAAAATTGCTGAGGTCTGGCAACATTGCTAATAAAGAATCCCAATGGACAGGAGCAATTCATTTTACCTCTAAATGCATATAGTGTCTTCTCATTGCTGATTTTTTTAGCCCAGTAAAACTTTGTTGAAGCAATCTCACTACATTCCCAAATGTAAGTAAATATTTTAGCGAGATGTCATCATAACCAATAGAAAATCATGGCCAAACCAATTAACCAAAATGATAATAAACCCAACAAATCATTAAATTCTCCATATATCATTGAATGTTTTCATTATTCTGTCTATAACCTCTATATCATAGTCTTGTGAACTGAACTCAATGTGTTGTCAGAATTAATTTCATTAGTGTACACCGCGGGAGCAATAGATACATCATAGATTGACTGTAGATGTTGCACAGGGGCAGTAAATCATGTCTCAGATCTGTCTCAGCGAGAGGTTATTAAGAGTTTGTCCACATCTCATGTATCATCTTCTTAATATAAAAACTTAATGAAGCCTGTTGAGGCTGCAGCAGCCGAGGCGAGTCTTTGGAAAAAGGATGATAGCATGCTCTTTACACCTCTCAACCATGGTGGAGTGCATCACTTTTTGCACTTTTCACCAGGGATCTAACTATAGGTTGACTCCACCATGCGCTATGAATCTTTAGCAATTAGGCAGAGGAATGGAGAAAGGGGTAGAGGATTGGGATAAAGGTGGTTTACTATTGTACCCCAGAGTAGCAGGTGAATGTACTGTGAAGACTTTCTTCTTCATGTAATGCTGTTTAGGGGTTTAAAGCAACGTATTCAGCAACATTTTGGATAAAAAAAAAAAAAAAAGCTCTTGGTAGTGGTAAATCAGTGGTACCCAGATGGGTTGCAAGATCAATCTAAGCGGTTGCGTGATGTTTATATCAGGACTTTTTTATTTTTAACATATTCTCTAAAGCTAGTCAAAAATAATATAACCTGAGAAGGTGACAGTACCCAGCTCAGAATCAAGATATATTCAACCTGTGAAAAATAAGTATTCATGATTTATTTTTTAAGCAAAAGTGGGACATTTTGGAAAATGTTGGGTATTAAATGAAAAGACCAAACCACTAACCACCTTTTGGCACTTTAAATATGAAGCTGTCATCGTGTAACCATCAACTAATCCAGGAAGTTTGTTCAGACAACGTAAAAAATCTTGCACATTACCCCATTGTTAACCACAAACTGCTGTTGTTGTACATTCAAGATATAAAATGTTCAATCTTTATAATAGTATGTGAGAGTCAAGGGTGCTGTAAGGCCAATGTTGTTACATTTGCAGTATTCAGGCTAGTTGTCTTTATGCTAAGCTAAGCAAATTGGCTGCTAGCTGTAGCTATATCTTTAGCGTTCAAACATGAGAGAAGTATTGACCTTCATCTCTTAGACTCAGCAAGAAATTAAATAGACACATTTCTGTAGATGTTGAACTATACCTTAAAACGGGTCACATGACAAAATCTTGGATACCACAGACAAAGTCAAGTTTCGGTACAAACACTAGAACCAAAGTCAACTGAGGGATATAAGGAAATTATATATGTTTTGATTCAATCAAGATTTAATTAGGGGTTGCAGGTTTTTCCATCGGTTTAGTGGGCGGGTACATATTTCACCCACTTGATATAGATATTAAAAATTAGAGGAACAATGATCAGAATTCTCTACGATAAGAACAGATTATTATGACTACTGAGCATGTTTTACACTGCCATATATACACTGATCATTGCCATGTTTCTAATGATGCCAAACATCTGCTCAAACATACTGTACATGCACAATGTTCAATATGAAATGAACAGCCTGTTGATAACCGATTCGGTAAGATGTTTCACTGCCTCAGCTGGCCTAATCAGAAGCATCTCTCTGGCTTCCCCCAACCCCCCCAAATACCCATCACATTAAACTTCTTATTAAGGCCGGGTAGCTCCTCCATCTTGGGACTGATCTGTGATCTACAACACGATAGCCCTTAAGAGAAAACTCAGGAATTAACTTCAAATGAGGCATAAAAAACTGCCAACCAGAGAGCGGATATTTTAAGGCTTTATGAGGACTAATTCAGTGGGCACGAGCAGGCCCCGATTTCTGCCAGGTCACAGAGCAGAAATCCACACTCAATTAAACGAGAGCATAACATTATGATGCTCTCTGCTGAAACACAGTCATCCTGGCAATGTGATGAATGAGAGGCATTACTCTACAGAGGGGAGGAGGGACAGCCTGGAGCTGATCAGGAACACACTGTGGTGTTTTTGGTCATCAACATGGAGCTATTGGAGCAGGCCGGAGCTGGAGCACACAGACAGAAAAGGTGCTCTGCATCCACTCCACATGCCTGCTGATGGCTGAGGGAAACACATATTCCCATCGTCCCAGCATCGCCCTGCAAAAGGCGACACAAAGACGGCGCAGCCCGGCCACGATGAGCCGCTGCCACCTGTGATTATCGCACAAATATCACTCACATTTAGGTCAATCTCAAAGTAATAGGGTTTTCGCATCAGCAATCCCCCGACACCACCCCCTACTCCGACCCCCACACACCATCGGAGGGAAGGATGGATGGATACATAGATTGATGGCGAGACTAGGTGAAATGGGGAGGGGGGGGGTTCCATTTTTAAGTCCACGATGAAAATGCAAGCGCACCACAGCCCTTTAACGCATCATAATAATACAAAAACACAATCAAAACCACGCCTCGGTATTAAAATAAAATTGCAAAAACATCTGGCACACACTTCGAACAAAACAGAGCCATATTCCCAGCAGGCTGTCACATTCTAGCATTTTTTCGAGCACAGATGGGAGGTGTGAGACGAGCGGAATGAGGAAACTGGAATGACATTGCGCCTGCTTACTGTAAAATAAATTCCCTCGGGGGATGGAGAGCCTCCCTTTTCCCTCTTGACTCCCCTCCTTTCCGACGTGCGATTTCCCCAAAATTCAGACCATGCAAAGCGGGTTGTCGGTCATTCCACCCTCCGAAGCGTTTGGTCCGGCAGCGCAGTGTGCGAGAGGAGGAAGGCAAGAGCCAGCATCCGAGAGGAGAGAGCCAGCTGTGGGGAGGAAATGAGGAAGGAAGGAGCGGCCGGGCCGGAGAGCTGCGCACAGGAGAGGAGGCAGAGCAGAGGTGCTCTCTCTCTCTCTCTCTCTCTCTCTCTCTCTCTCTCTCTCTCTCTCTCTCTCTCTCTCTCTCTCTCTCTCTCTCTCTCTCTCTCTCTCTCTCTCTCTCTCTCTCTCTCTCTCTGTCTCTCTCTCGTTCACAATACAACACCCCCCATCCCTGCCAGACAGACTGACTGACGACTTGGGTACCAGTGTCACCAGCGACCCCCACCGGGGATGGGAGGAACTTCAGTATTGAGGCTGAATAATGCCAAAGAGAGGCAGAACCTGGAAAATGAATAGATACTATGCAAGTTGCCTACACGTTAGGATCCTGGTCTGTATTATATATAAGAGTAAGTTATTAATTTGCTTAAAAGTTTGACAATTAAGCATAAGAGTCCAAATTATATTTCCTTTCTTTCAGACAGTAAACATGTAACATGGATGATCACATACTCTGTTTTTGTAACACGCTACTTTACAACAACTGTCCAAAGAAGGCTTTACAAAAAATAGAAAAACATAATTATAGAGCTGTCTCTTCAGTGGTAAAAGTATGAAAGATATATTGTTTCTCTTTTAACCGTGACTTAAAGGTCCCCTAGTGTCAGAAAATAAAACCCTCTCTCTTTTGCTCCGTACCCAAATCTCTAAAAACGGGGGTACAACGGAGCTGATCCAGATTTGCTGCCGATATGACGTAATATAGGAAATATGGGCTGGCTTTACGCCCACGACCCTATCAAAAACATTGTTGTATCAGAAACAATGCGTGACTTGTTTTGGAAGTAATATGGTCTGTGTTTACATTAGCAAGCATCGCTAACACTCAGAGCTAACGCTGTACTGGAGAAAAAGCAGGATATAAAAAGGTACTCACTTTATGGTAAACCATAAGATAACTTTAACAAGATGCCTGTGTGCTTTGTATCAACAAAAAAAAGATGGACTTTTATTAATTCCTCGTGGGGAAATTGTTTCTCTGCATTTGACCCATCCTAGTGTTAGGAGCAGTGTGCTGCCATTTTGAACGGCGCCCGGGGAGCAGTGTAGGGAATGGTGCCTTGCTCAGGGACACCTCGGTAGCACTTGGTCTTGCCAAGCCAACTCCCTATCGACTTCGCCACCAGGTTGTAATCATAGCAGCAATGGGTCTTGCTCATTCTTTCGCTTCCCGTCTGATGAAAGGACCAGGAGTGGCTGGATCAAGTTAGCTAACTAGCTAGTAGCAAGCACGTTAGTTAGCATTACAGCCTTAGCCTTGTCATTTGTATTAGCCTTAACATGAAGTAACATTAAGTAACCCAAAATGTTAAACAGTAAGAGTAGTAGTCATTTTTCTTGAACCCTTTGAAGAGTAGGCTACTGTCACACCGGTGTGATCATGCTATAATACACCGTTTAAGCCCGGATGCCCACGCTACATTAGCATCGGCGATCTTTTCTACTTCATGCTATCTGCACAAATGGTTAACATTGAACATTAAAAAGATCAGGCAGTTCAGGGAGAATCGAAGGAAGGCAGGCAGGCAGGCAGCTTTGCATGACATTCTTCTGGACGTGTTTCATTGTGGTGATGATGACAGTAGTGACGGCCATCTTGGTGACGTGTGTTGTTGTGCGAGACCAGAGATGTAGTTCATTGAGCGGTTTCACACAAAAAAAATGTTACTTAAAAAAAAATGTTACTTGCAAAATTATCTTTTAAATTGACAAACATCATATGTGTAATTGATGGCACAATTCAAACGGGATCGAAAGATAATCTTTCTCTCGCCATTGACTTCAATACATAATTTTTCCGAAATAAGGTCCCATGAAGGTCCACCGGAAAGGGAGGGACTTTGCCTCTCTATACTGAAATAGAATCAGCACTTTAGTAACAGGGATGAAATAGAGGGATATGAGGCATGGTTACAATGGTTGATCTGTTTGGTATTTTGAGCAAAACACTTCAGAGACATGTTTTGTATAGATATGGCCAATATATTGTTCAAATATAGCATAATAGGTGAGCTTTGATATTACTATTAAAGAGGCCGTATAATTTGTTGGGATTTTCCCTTTCCTGTGTGTTATATAAGTTTTTGTGCATGTAAATGGTCTGCAGACGCTAACATCCCAAAGTTCCCTCCAGAGGGAGTTTTCTCATTTAAAAATCATTCATCAATCACAAGTAAATAGCATGAAAATCAGTTAGGTTGTATTCATATATCGCAAAAGTCAAAAAGGCATTGTCGTATTTTTGGCAACCATTGAAAATAAATTGTTAATTCAGAAAGCACGTAGCCTACATTGTTTCCATGGTGAGCCATGCCATAACCTTTATTTGTATGCCCCCTAAACATATTCCACCCCATACTGTTTCCTTAAACTCTCCCCCTTTGTTGAGTAGACTATAATAGAATAAACAATTTATGCAGAGACAGACATGCCAAATCAGGACAAAGACCTAACTCAGGGGCGTTAGAACACAAATGAAGTCTGGATAAAAAAAAGTTTATAACCCATTTTTACGGAGCTATGTCTATCCTCTGACTCTTTTCTATCTCTGGCTTTATCTATATTTATCTCCCTCTCTTCCAGCCTCTCCCTTTATTTCCCTTCCTCTTTGTCTAACATTTCTTTGTTCAGCCAACTGTAAGCTATTTCCAAATGCCACAGTCAGTAGCATCAATGGCAATCTAAATCTTGCACACATTGTTCTCGCATGCACCATTTGCTTCATTGCACAAGAAATGACTTTGGATGCTCAGATTAACCACACACACTGCAGCCAAAATGTCATACACTAAACAGTGGAAGAATGAGCAATTTGTTGATAAAAAAAAACTTGAAATATGACTTCAGGCATGCATGTACTTATGGTGTATGAATGCAGGGTTTTAATTAGTTAATCCTTGAGTGCTTATTTGTTGCTATATCATCCATAGTATGCTCTCTTCGCACTATTTCTTGCAGTATACTCTATTTGAGCTATTCTTATCTGTAGCCTCTCCTTTGCTGCTCTAATGACCTGACATCTCCACAGGGATCATTAAAGTTTCATCTGACCTAATCTAAAAATTGAAGTCCCCTTAAGCAAGGCACTTGTCTGCTCCAGTGAAGCTGCTCAGTGTCCATCAGTGTAGTGGTACTGAGAAGCTGCTGGCTGGTGCGTATGTGTGTGATGCTGCTTAAGTCTATGTTATCACAAAAGATTATGTCACCTGTTGGATTGAAAGTGTTGTCGAGATAGTCTGGAGGTTATGCAGCAGTGGTGATTTGGTATTTGAACTGTGCCATGTCTGGCTTCTTGAACTGGTGATGAAAACACACACAAACAGCACCCACTTTCCACACTTTAGCACTGTGATGTCATGCGTGAGTCAAGACCTACAGCCGATTAGTCACAGACTGAGTGACTCATTTTGCCTTCCATTTATCTATCAATCACCTATTCAACCGTTTTAATCCATAGAGCGCAATTTTTCTTTAAAGACCCAATCTGTAATTTTTTCAACATATAAATAATCAGCCCAGGCTCATTTCCTAGGGCATCAAATATAGATGTTTGTCAAATCAGCATTTGATCCATTACACAAGACAACTTTTTGCATTTGTGTGGCACGCACCAAGGTTTTAATTCACTACAATGTAAACAATCAGCTGCAATATAAGATGCTCAGGGTGCGCACCAATCAGAGGTCATTGTCATTAGTTCAATCACCAGCCCTTGCTGTGTCGTAGTGTCATGGGCAAGATATTAAACCCCAAATTCCTTCCGTATGTCTACAGTATTGAAGGGTATGTACTGTAAGATGTGTGATTAGCTAAATTACATGTTATGTTAAAACACAGGACACTTTACCTAGGATGAGACCTCTTTTTGTGTCTCTTACACACAACACTGCTGAGAGGATCATCGGTGCCTCACTCCCGTCACTCCTGGACCTCTACAACACCCGCCTCACCCGCAGAGCATTCAGCATTGTGGGTGACCCGCCCCATCCCTCCAACTGCCTCTTCACCCTCCTGCCTTCAGGGAGGAGGTTCCGCAGCCTGAGGTCGGGCACTACTCGACTTAAGAACAGTTTTATCCACCAGGCTGTCAGGATTGTGTTTTTTTGTAATATATATTCTTACAAAAAAAGTAACTACAGTGGTCAAAAAAGTTTTAAAATCCATTGTAATGAACTAGTAGGAAGTAGGCCTGGTGGAGAGAGAGGATGAGAAATAAGAACACTTGAAACTTATTTTAAACAACCCAATGAGACATTAACTATCTAACTGCAATGTGCTGTATATTAATTATGATAAATTGTCGTTTACTTTCATAATTCTGCTAGTTTTACGGACCAGTGGCCTGTCTGTGGATTGAGAAGAGCAGCCAATTGAGAAGATATCAGTCACAGAAAGAAAAGGTACATCTGGGAAAAAGTAAAGTAAGAATACAGAGAGATAAAGCGCAGCAGTGCAGACAGCCAGCGAATAAGCAAGCTGTGCCTCTGTGGATCCTGTCACCATTGCAGATCTGAAGGTAAAGCTTCTCAAGCTGGTGGGAGGGAGCTGATCCCAACTCTTTGCCACTAAGAAGATTCCGTTTTAAAACTTTTGACATATGTGTTCTGCAGAAATCCCGGTGCCACAAGTACAAGAGGAGAAGATGTTTCCGAAGCAACATAGTCTCTAAGATGCTCATACTCTTCGCTGTTTAAGCTCGAGTCATGCCTCTTCTTAAAAAGCACAACCTCGATCCAGAGGTTTTAGCCAATTATAGACCTATTTCTAATCTTCCGTTCCTCTCAAAAATTCTTGAAAAAGCAGTCGCAAAACAGTTATGTGATTACTTAAAAAACAATGATTTATTTGAAGATTTTCAGTCTGGCTTTAGAACACATCATAGCACAGAGACAGCTCTGGTTAAAGTCACAAATGACCTTCTAATAGCCTCAGACAAAGGACTTGTCTCTATTCTTGTCTTGCTCGATCTCAGTGCTGCATTTGATACTATCGACCATGACATTTTATTGCAAAGACTAGAGCACTTAGTTGGCATAAAGGGAACTGCTTTAGGCTGGTTCGGTTTGTGTGTGTCAACGATGAATCTTCCATGCAAACCAAAGTGAGCCATGGAGTGCCACAGGGCTCAGTGCTTGGACCTATTTTGTTCACATTATATATGCTTCCGTTAGGCAATATTATAAGGAATCATTCTGTACATTTCTATTGTTATGCGGATGATACTCAACTATATTTATCCATCAAGCCTGATAAATCCAATCATCTAAATAAAAATCAAGACTGCCTCAAGGACTTAAAAACGTGGATGACCTTAAACTTTTTGATGTTAAACACAGCCAAAACTGAAGTTATTGTACTCGGCCCAAATAATCTACGAAACAAACTATCTAAAGATATACTAACTATGGATGGCATTAATTTGGCCTCCAGTGAGACTGTAAGGAATCTTGGTGTTATATTTGATCAGGATTTATCTTTTAACGCCCACATAAAATCAATCTCAAGGACCGCCTTCTTTCATCTACGTAACATTGCAAAAATCAGGCATATCTTGCCTCAAAACGATGCAGAGAAACTAGTCCATGCATTTGTTACTTCAAGGCTGGATTATTGTAACTCTTTATTATCAGGGTGTACCAAAAAGTCAGTTAAGTCGCTTCAGCTAATTCAAAATGCTGCAGCACGTGTACTAACCAGAGTTCGGAAAAGGGACCACATTACTTCAGTGTTGGCTGCCTTACACTGGCTCCCTATAGAACACAGGATATAATTTAAAATTCTTCTTCTCGCCTACAAAGCTCTTAATGGGCAGGTTCCATCTTACCTTAAATAACTCATTATACCCTACTGTCCTACGAGGGCATTGCGTTCCAAGAATGCAGGGTTGTTGGTTGTTCCTACTGTAGAGTCTCTAAAAGTACAATGGGAGCCAGAGCCTTTTCTTATCAAGCTCCACTTTTGTGGAATCAGCTTCCAGTTTGTGTTCGGGCGGCAGACAGCCTATCCGTTTTTAAGAGTACGCTTAAGACCTTCCTTTTTGATAAATCTTATAGTTGATAAAATAATCTAATAAGAGTGCATTGACGTAGACACGTTGTGCCTCTTCACCTATACATCTTAGTTCTTACTCTTTTTCCTTACTGATGGTATATATGTAATTTGGTTGGGTGTGTAGACGGTGGAAGCAGGGAGAGGCATGTACGTGCCTTGATCCCTGCCGAGTCGACGCACAACTGTTGATTGGTGTCAGTGCCAAAAAAACTTTTTAGGAGCAATGCGCTCATGCTATAGATGTGGCGCATACATCTTAGTTCCTACTCTTTTCCCTCACCCTATCCTAAGGGAGTGCATCTACGTAGACACGTTGTGCCTCTCCACCTCTGTTCCTTACTTCTTACTTGCTACCCTTTTCCCTCAACCTATCCTAAGGGAGTGCATGTACGTAGACACGTTGTGCCTCTCCACCTCTGTTCCTTACTTCTTACTTGCTACCCCTTTCCCTCAACCTATCGTAAGGGAGTCCATGTACGTAGACACGTTAGTTTTGCTGCTATAGGCTTAGACTGTCGGGGGACACCTTACTTCTTCCTTCTGTCTGTCTGTACCTGTGTACTCTCATGTTCCGAATAACCCAGCTTCCCCCAAATTTCTTTTTGGTGTCTATCTACGCCGGGATCCTGAGTCGTGGCTGATCCTGTTGCTGCGGTCCTGTGTCCTGGATCCTGAGTCATGTGTCCTGGATCCTGCATCCTGAGTCCTGGATCCGGAGTCCTGGATCCTGAGTCCTGGATCCTCTATCCTGAGTTCTGGATCTGAGTCCTGGATTTCGAGTCCTGGCTGAACCTGTCTCTGCGGTCCTGCCTGACTCTCATCATACTACTTCCCTGATGGCTCCCACAGGATCGTTGACAATCTCGTGGATTCATCTTCTTATTATAGACACATGCATTTCCAAACATTTGGTCTACCTATGTTGTAAATGTATTATCTCTTCGATTCACACATGGCATCTATTGCACGTCTGTCCGTCCTGGGAGAGGGATCCCTCCTCTGTTGCTCTCCCTGAGGTTTCTCCCATTTTCCCCTTTAAAACTGTGGGGTTTCTTTGGAAGTTTTTCCTTGTACGATGTGAGGGTCTAAGGACAGAGGGTGTCGTATTGTCATACTGATAGTCTGTACAAACTGTGAAGTCCACTGAGACAAATGTAACATTTGTGATATTGGGCTATATAAATAAACATTGATTGACATTGATTGATTGATGTTTAAAGGTCAACACGTTTTTTTGTGTCTGTATATTGCACCTGTTATTGTTGTATGTTTTCTTATCTTTAATGCATGAGGGGGAAACAGAAGTATTTTGTCTGCTCCGCTGTCACAAGGACAGATACAGGAAGACATTCCTGCCAACACTGTGTACAACAACTCACCTCTGGCTGGCAGAGAAGTCACTGCTCCATAGCTTCTCTTTTGTTTACTGGACTTATAACTTCCCACTGTACATTTAACATTTCCTTTTAATATTTTTTTTGCCATTTTTGCATACTAAATGTAAATAATATCCTACTTTCATATTATGAGAGTTTATATCATTTTGTGTTTTCTGTAATTTGGCCCTTCAATAGTGTTTTATTTGTCAGACAGTTTGCTTAGTTTTTCTCACGGTCAACTTTTACATTTTCACTTTTTTAGTTCTGTTTTATCTTCTTTTTTTAGATGTTTATATTGTATACTTTTTTATTTTCTACTCTTTTTTATTTCTAATTATGTGCAATACTTGGTTTTACATGCTGCTGCAACAAAACATTTACCAATTTGGGATCAATAAAGAATGTCTTATCTTATCTTACAACACAGATGGAGCATCCTTACAAATGTTGTATGAAATCGATTATATATCTAAAAACATTTAGCCTCAATATCTTTGTTGAATAAAATAAAAACGTGTACATTTTTATTTATCTCAGCTGATATTTTTTCTTAAGATTTGTTGAGGTGAATTGAGGTAGCTCTGTTAAAGATAAATGCTGACAGCAGCGCCATCCTGTGGTAAATCAAAGCATACTGTAACATACAAACATATAATCTTGTTTACAATCCAAGATATAGTTTTATTATAACATTTGTCCCAGTTTGTCCACATTTTTCCACTATAATTATAATCTGTTTAGCTAAAATTACTTTTTTTACCTAATGATAGGCCTATAAATAAACACTTATTGATTAACTAATTAATGTGATTTTCTTTTATTTTTCTCAGTAAATGTTAATCTGCATCAGTCTGTAAAACGACTCTAATATTAAAATGAAAATATGATACACATTTGCTTCTTGAACTAATATTTGTAAACTGCTTTCAAAATCATAGATAGATTGATAAATGGATGTTTATTCATGAAGTTGAGATTTACGAGGTGATCACGAATGCAGCATAAGCCTCGGTGCTGCTCAGAGCCATGCTCAGAGCTCTCTCCTCTCATCCTTTTGTGTCTCCTGTCCAATCAGCGTCTAGAAGCAGGTTCCTCGTTTCTGATTAGTCAAGAAGGAGGAAGATGCGACGGCAAGGGAGAATAGACTGGGGACTTTACATAGCATCCTACTGATGTGATTCATATTGTTAGATGATATCCATGTGTTGACTCGTCGCGTTATGTAGTGGCGTTGGGATTGTTACCTGTTTGACTTGGGTTGTTTCCAGCATTTGTCGTTGGTTTTGTTTGTTTTGTATTGTCGTTTGACGCGATGTTGGGCCTGTCGTGGTGCTTATTCTAGGTGAAGTCACTCCCAAGAAATGTAGCTTGTGGCTACAGCACTGGTAGAGCTGTCACTTAAGGTAAGACATTTCCAAAACGGGACTTGGCCTGGTAAAATTACTTAATGATATATTATGGATATATCATTTGACTTGTGGTTAACTTCGATATCTGAATCTGGTTGATTCTTGACTTGTGGGCCAAACTATGGACGGGCTACCTGGTTAGCATGAGATAGCCTACTTCAAAATGTAAAGCTGTGAACATTAATGTAAAGCACATTAGGACAATAATTCAGTGTTTATAATAGTGGCTTAGAAATGTGGATATATAACTGCATTCTTATCTTGTCTACATCAGGGGTTACATTAAAGTAAATAGGGAGGCCTTGTTTTTCTTAAGCAGGCTACTATTCTTAACATGTACTATTACATTGATGTACTCAAATAAGGCATCCATATTATAATGTGATGTAATAATATGGTTTTTTTTGCATGAAGAGTTGTCTGCTTTTACTTTTGGTTCTTTAATCATAGGGCTTTTTTTCTGTAAGACATTTTTACAGTGTGGTATTGCTACTTAAGTAGAGATATAAATACTTCCTTCCCCTCTGTAGAGTAAGATGTAACATGAGGATTATACATATTTCATGTTTTATATTGTAGAGTCTTTCAAGAAACTGTATGGAGAACTGTGTGTTGAAAATGTTGATGAGTATTTGCTCCTCCTGTAGGTGTTGCTGTGTGAACGATGCATGAGCGATGTCTGATGTTGAGGCCACGTACGCTGACTTCATCGCCTCTGGCAGGACGGGACGCAGGAACGCCATGCACGACATTCTGCAGAGTCCCAGCGACCCTGATGGGCGAGAACTGCCCCTCACCCTGTCTCTGTCCCAGCTGCACATCAACGCAGGAGGGGGAGGTAAACCACAGCCTTAATCTAGAGGGGATATGTGTGTGGGTGTACAGTAAAGGGTTATTCGTTTTTTGTCAGGTTTGAAGCCTTTGCTTTGCTCAAGAGTGTCTTTTTATATGTTTTATTGTTGACTAATGGCTTCATATTATGAAGTCTTGCATCTTTGAAAAGCTGAACTACATTGAGAGGCTTAAAGTAACTTTTGTTTACCCCAAATCAAATAAGATTTTCAAAATGTAAAGGTCATTCAACCCAGTCTTTACACTTTATTTATTTCAGTCCAAACTGAATGATCTTGATTTTATTTTGTTCTTATTTTCTCGCAATATCTTTTCGCTGCCAAGAACACACAAATGACAAGGATGCAACAATACTTTTTCATCATTGTACAGCACAGGATTGTGGAAAAAAATGTAGTTATAGTCCCATTCATACATTGATTATGCTCCCATTTTATAGAGTTTATTATAACATTTTCAATTTCCTGTTTCCAGCCAAAATCCAGTCTTGTTTTTCTGGACTCAAAATGCCTATTTTTTAGTTTGTTTAACAGGGGTGTTAAGTAAAACTTAAAAAAAATCTGCCAAAACAGTCTTTCGTGGACCACTTATGAGTGCCACAACATTCAGGATTCCCTAAAGATAATAGCAAAATGATCTGGGATCTTTCTTTAGACAATCTGTTTTTGCTAATTCTTTCCTGAAAATTAAGAATGATTGGGACCCAGGACTATGGCCTAAAACATGTGAAAGACGTTGTACTGTATGTATGATCACATTATTATTTACGTAAATCGTTCTCCCTTTCCCCATGTTCCTGCAGATGGAGACGATGCTGAGGACAGCCAGAGCTCTTCGTCCTCGTCCCACAGGGAGCTGGGGCAGAGGAACAGCTAACCTGTCACACACTGCTGCCAGTGGACAGAGAGCTGCCAGATGGAATCCAGCCGCCATTGTGACAAAGCCTTTTGTTCAAAGTGGGCTGGTAGCTGGAGGCTAGTGCACCACTGCTGAGGTGCCTAAAAGCAGGGCACTGACCCCCTCATCCTTCCTTCGAGGCGCTGTGCTGCGATGTGACCACCCAGTGCTCTCATGTCCCTGTGGCTCTGCTGTGCACTACAATAACACACTGTTGGCAGGCCTGTATTTCAGAGTTGGAGTGAGCAGAGAGACAAATGTGTAGCTCATGTACAGCTGATTTTACTTTCAGTCTTAGTTACTAAACACGCAGGCTGGAGGATAGGAACGAAAAGAGAAAATAGACAGAGATCTTATGTGTAGTTGTGCAAGCAATTTGTAAGACCACTGAGACGTGCTGATGTAATGGGTCACAGTGGGAGTAGCATGTTTGTAGTGATGCTGATAGAGATTATATTGCCAGTTAATGGCCTGTGCTTCCTCTAAATTGACAATACCGTGGAGGGAATTGGACTACTTAGTTGGAGTAGTTGGGAAACACCATGGACAAAAAAACTGGGGCTTACTTCATCTGTTGAAAAAATATTCACTGATTCTATTGTGTTTGATGGGACAAAATCCAGTAATATCCTGTATGTGAAATTGTTTTTTACTGTAGAAAGCAGAATATGGATGGTGGTGTGAAAGTGTTCTGTTAAACAACAATACTTAATATACATTTCCAGTCAATACAGTATGGATGACATGTTTTATTCAGACTCAGTGGTTGAACATGATGATGATGTACTATCTTTTCAAATGTTTATATTTTTGGTTACTTTTTTTAATGATGCCATTATAATCAAAACCTTAAAGTTTGACATTTTGGGAAATACGCTTTTTCTATTTCTTGCTGAGAGTTAGATAAGCGGATTGATGCTGGTCGTGTAGGCTACATGCTAAATATGTAGCTGCAAGGTTAGCTTGGCTAAGGATACATAGTGGATACAGAGAAACAGCTAGCCTATCTTTCTCCAGAGGATCAATAACTATCAGCCCCTCTAAAGTTCACTAACTAACATATTATATCATGTTTGTATAACTGGTACGAAAACTGACGTTTGAAAGCGAAAACCAGTTGCCGGGCTACCAGCAGAGACTCAAGGAAGTTAGCCATGTTTTTTCACCACAGATTGTGTACAGAATACATGAATATTATTAGTGAGCTTAAGAGGTGCTGGTGGGCATATGTTGTTACGTTAAGACTGATCTTTCCCCTTGTTCCCAGTTGTCATGCTAAGCTAAGCTAAAAGTTGTGGTATCAAAATGAATGTCCATTTTTCCGGACCTTTGAGCTGTTACCTACTATATATAACATTGCTGAAGTGTTAGGGACACTTTTTGTTGTTTTGTTTTCTCTCTACAATCTAGACTCTAGATAAATAGTTAATCTAGTTAGCTACGCTACGCTAAGCTAAATCTTTCGAGCTACATTTTTAGCATTCAGACATGAAAGAGGTATCTATCTTCTTGTCTTACTCTCAGCAGTAAAGTGAATACATTTTTCTCAAACTATTAAACTATTCGATAAATGTAGATATGCAATACTCAGTGGAGCTTCCAGTTATTGTAACATGTTTGTGTGAAAGTTTTTATCTCTGACATTGAGGCTGCATTGCTGCTTCTAATAATGGATGCATCCCATAATCATCATTTGTAAAGACCATCATGCATGCACTGTTAAAACTGTGTACTTTGTTATTTTCTAGTATAATCTTACTGTAATACTGCAGCTTGACTGCGTCTCGTTCTTATTCACGCTGAAGATCATAAAGCAAATATAACTCTTTTTTAAATATTACTTATTCAATCAGGTTTTCAAGTTGTAAACTGCCATGTGACTATAATGACTCCCACCCGCTTTCACAACGCTGTATATCCTAAACCACACTGTTTATAACTCAGCATGTAGAGTTAAAACAGTTGCATGATCTGTGTAGGTGTTTCTCGGACTGTCTATAACCATATTTTCTACTCTCTGTGACAAAACAAAAATAAATAACTGATGGCAGTAAAAGGGAAAGTGGATTATCTTGTTGTACTTCTGCAATTTGGCCAACAGGTAGCACTGTAGGAGAATTTATGAAACCGACAGAAACTAATGAATGACCCTCAAACTTTGGTCAATATTCAACTTTATGTGTACATAACAATTTTTTACACATTTCAAAGTATTTGATATATAGGAACTTAGGACATATGATAGGCCATTACAAATCTTTAACGTGAAAACGTCAAAGGGATTCTCTTGACTTTTGTTTAATTTTATGATGATTGTAAAATTCTTCTCTACTTTATCCAATGTGATTTTTCCGTATTTAAAGACCATCAATGTTCTGTGCCCCAGTGTGTGTGTTTAATGTGAGTGACTGAGGGAGTGTGTTTTGCTGATTATGCAAATAATCATTAGACAATTGTACCAGGAAGTTTCAGAAAGAAAAAAAACCCCCACCAGTTCCTCTAAGTTCCTCATTCTGGTGGGTGAATGTAAGAGTCCGTGTCGCCCAGAACGCACACAGCCAAACACTTCACCAGCCTTCAGTCAATCTGACGAAAAACACAGAGAAGAAATCTGAGGACTAAAAGACTTCTTCATATTGGATGAACTGTTTCGTGAACCACAATACACACTAAGAGAGGTAAGCACACATGCATGTGAGGTGTGAATGACATCAGTCAGAAATATGCCAGGTCAGTAAGAGCTGTTCATACACACCCATAAAGGTAAAGAAGATAGGATGTAATTGAGTTTATATTATGGAAAAAGGTATATATATAAATGTAGGCTTGACTCAAATGAAGTTACTTTATAGTAAACAACGTTTTTTTTTAAAGTTATAGTTGAGTTTTTATTGAAAGTTATGGACTGTTTCACAACCATAGACTTAGGAACCAACAAGTATGGTTTGTCATCATACTGAAAATGCTGTTTGGTAATAATACTTTATAAGTTGTATAAATCACTGGTGTAACTGTATTTGAACAGCTCAGTACATGTGATCAGATTTATCATTTAGGTGCATCAAATTCTCCAGTGGACTATGTCCCATACTTTCCTTTCATTTTGCCTCCACTCCAGCCCTTTGCTCAGTCCAAGGAGGAAGTTTGTTCGTGGTCATAGCAGTGTGTGTGTGTGCGTGCGTGTGTGCGTGCGTGTGTGCGTGCGTGTGTGTGCAAGCGAGTGTGTGTTAGCTCCTAATCGGTACAGACCCTTGGTTTCCTGCTGTTTGCTGACTGTCAAGTTAAAAATATATCAGAGGCACTGAACCAATAAAGCACGAAACCAGTAACAAACTGCCATTCTTAACAACACATTATTTTATTCAACTATATAAGCAACTTTTCTGTCATCTGGATTATATAAACTTCAATTTAGAAAAGTAAACAACACATTGTACTGTGCACCAATTCTTTTTTTTTTAAGGTGTGTCCCTTTTTTGATTTCAATAGTGCTTGAAATCTTGATAAAACAGAAAGATTAAGGTCAGTCCTTCACCATAATCTGAAGGTCACATAACACCCTTTTGTTTGCATTCTTCATTATTATTTAGTTTTAGGAGCTAAGACCTTTATCTAGGTTCCAGCACAGACTTTTGTTATAGACAAAGGTAAAGTTCTATAGGAGGTTTAATGCTTTTTTTTTAAGTACATTACTTTATTTACCTCTCTTTTTATAGCTGAAAATGTTTGTCGGTCCACTTGGTTTGGACTGAAAATATCTCAACGGAGATTCATGTTCCCATAAAAACTAATCTTACCGTCCATACTGTAGCTGCTGACATAAACATTGTTTGCATGGTCTGAGAAAGCATATTGTCCTGCTAGAATTAACAACAAAGAAAAGCATTGCCCAAGTAGGCTACACCATCAGCTAGCATGGCTATTGTTCTCACACTGCTAATGCAACAGGATACAAGACTTTCCCAAAGAACACAACCTCATGTCAGACACTGATCTCCGCAAAACTATTGTGACAAGCAGCGATCTCAACTTTTCTTTAGCAACCCAATAACTGATCATATGCTTTTGCTCTTGTTCGATAACCGCTAGAGCACACAACAGCAACTCGGGCATCTCAATTGCTGTGTTATTGCTTTTGTTGCTTGTGCTAACATGGCGTAACTTTTTCAGTCCTTACACTTGAAAAAATGATGTCGTAGTCCGTTCAGTCCAGTCCAGTTCTTGAGTAGCTACTCACTAGCTCTTGACACCTGAATGTAATTAAGATGCATCGCTATTGTTTTGCATTATTTTACTCAAACCTGTATGAGCAATTTAGTTTGCTCTGGAACAAAAGTAGGCCAACAATTGTGTGGCATTGTAACATTGTAACTGTGATTCACCATATCAATCAGTCAATACACAGTTCCCATGCCTAACATAATTCCAGCACATAATCATGTATCAATTGTTTCATTCATGTGTATATTGTTGTGTTATATCCGTCATATCCTGTCCGAAATGTACTTTTATAGGCTACAGCAATGAAAATGAAAGAAACACAAGCATCTGGAGGATGTGAAAGTGGTTTTACTACATTTTTGAGAGCATCATCAGCAACATTGTTATTAATGCAATCTGTGCTGCACTTTCACGCAACAAATGAGTTTATAACTTTGCACTCGAGCACATTGGGTGTTTGCTTCCCTTCAAACTATAAAACAGCAAGTGACAATTTGATGTAATGTAAAAAAATCATTGCAGAGACACTCCACACACTTATCACCACTGCCAACTCAGACATTGCAATCATCATGCTGCCAGCGTGGCGAGAAGACATAACGTATAAACGTCATAAACTGTAATTTCACATTTCAGAGCTACACACCATGACATTTTATTATACTTGTTATCTAGAACACCTTCTCTGAACTACCAGCCTTTTTTTCACGCAGGAAACGTTTTATTTTAGTGGTAAAGATTTAGTGGTTCATTTTTGGTTGAGTAGGTGTTATGTACTGAGTGTCTGATCTTTTGAGCTTTGAGAAAATAGCCTAAAGTCATAATAACCCAAATTATAATACATAAAACAAATCTTTAAGTATGACACAAGAGGAAAGAGCAAAGTAAAACCAAATGCTGTTCAATACATTTTCTGGCAACTGAAAAGTAAAAAATTTACTTTTGTGTCGTCAAAAACACTTTGAAACGGGTTAGTTTTAAAACAAACACACAAACATCCCCACCCTGAAACCCTAAAAAAAATAAACATCACACTGTGTTGAAGAAGACTTGAACTATTGATAGAGACAATAAACTCATGAAGAAAAATAAATTAAGTGAAAAGTAGTATTAATAATTGTTTCGACTTTTATACAATCACAATTATTTTACAACCATGACTGGAGTTTACCCCTGTTGTATATAAGAGGAATGGCAAGCTCAAACACTTTCACTTTGGCCTTACTATTCAGACCCGTAGGTTGCTGCTTGGTTTCAATCTCAAAAGATTAACTTCTCAATTTCAATGTTTTCCCCTCTGGATCAGGAGGTAATTTTGGGCTTTCCTTTAATATCATGATTCTGATTTATACAGCATTATAGGAAAGTCTTTTGACAGAGATTTTATCAGTTTGACGGTTCTATAAAGACCATTTCATTCATATTTGAGGATAGCATGTCGAAAGATTTGTTTCTACACCTGCTGCTGCTGCTTTAGAGTTTCCGTGTCCATTTCCTCTTTGACTTTGTTTAAACACCAAATAATGAAGCAAAAGTACAAATTAAAGTCACTGGTTAGGTTCTTTGTTATTTTTACATTCAAAAGCCAAGGAATCACAGGTGTTTGGTAGCAAACATTTAAAGTGTTGTTTGTTTCAGCAGCTGTTAATGTGTAACAGTCACTCTTCCTTTGTCTCACTTCCCCCTGCAGGCAGTATGGGCTGTATGAAGTCCACGCTGAGCGAAAGTCCAAACGGAGGTGTGCAGAGGAAGATCTCCGAGCAGCCTGTACGTACCGACAACACGCACTATGTCAGAGACCCCACCTCCAAAACAAAAAACAACATAGTAAGTAGTCCGAAATCTGGGCTGAGTAAAAACTGAATTTCAGTTCTAGAAAACAAGATACTGATTTCTCTCTGGCATAACAATCTGAAAAGTATCAAAGAAAAACCATAGCATAACAATCATGTATGTTATATTTTTCAATGTGCCCTGGTGAATTAAAATGTAAGTGGAGAATGCCATAAAAGCGGAATTATTCAGTTCTCATGAGAGCATTACACAAGGCAGATACACCCCCTCCTAATGATTCGGAGAAATAGTGACTCAGATATTTCTTAATAAACAGAACTTCTCTATTGCACACGATTGAGTCTAGTTTGTGAAAGTCTGTATTCACGAAGCGTTGATAGACCAGATATGTATTATATTTTCATTGTTTCTGTTCAACTCTTTGCTCTGCATTTGCAGGACTCCCTGTTACCTGGTCAGGTGTTCCAAAAGATGGAAGGTATGCCGCATTCCTTCTCTCTCTTGTTTCATTTTTTCTTTGTGACTCTCTTTTGTAAAATTATGTAAAAACACATTTTCAGAAAGTTTTTGCCTTTTCTATAAATCATTAACCATAATACTCAGTAAAACTTAGCAAATGTCAACGTGGTATTATTAAAGAGGCCCTATAAAGCTTTTTCGGGGTTTCCCTTTCCTGAAGTGTCTTAAATAGATTTTTGTTCTTGTAAATGGTTTGCAAAGGCTAAAATCCCAAAGTTCCCACACTATCACCCTCCACCTCCCCATACCTCCGTAACATAGCTCCAACACATTGTACGCAATAAGAGGCGGGGCATCCCTAAGACCAATCACAACAGAGCCGGCCAACTAACCAATCAGAGCAGACTGGGCTCTGGTTTCAGACAGAGGGTGAAAAGAGGTGCTGCAGCACAGGCAGTATGAGAAAAATAAAGACCTTTTTGAACCCAAAGCATGTAAACATGTCACGATAGAGGCACAAAACACAAATATGACACCTTAAAATGAGCATATTAGGGCCCCTTTAAAGAGTTCAGAGTCAAAGCCAGT